GATATTCCGAAATAAACAACTTTTACTATGTTTACATTTACTCTTTGGCACATTAATTAATTAAACTATAATCATAAATATGTAGGTAACTTGATTTGATTATTGACGGATTAACGTACAGATCAATTACTAAATCGTTTTACTCTGTTGCTACCTTACGTAAATTGCATATATTCTTTGTTTTAAAACAGTTGTATTTACAAGTAAGCCACAAGTTGAAGTAATTCAACGCATGTCAATAAACATGGTTTGGAAAATAGCGACTAGATAAAGATTCGGGGTCACGTGATGGTGAATGGTATTACGTCATCTATTCTATCATTTAGGTTGCACTCTGCAATATCTTGCCGAGAAAAGTATAAAACTAATTTGTGGTCAAACTGCGTTTAAATTTATTTTTGTTTTTCAAGTGCCTAATGACTCTTTTTATTCAGTGGTGTCCGTGTCTAGGGGAAAATTGTTTGAAACGAGTATGTTCTGTTCTTTTGAATCTTGCATTTGCTACAACAACAAGATATGTATTCTATTGGTTAAAGGGCGGTGGTCGTCGCGCTGCGCATGTGCGACATTTTTGTTGTTAAACATTGATTTTCCAACAGTCAAATTCGCTCTTCTAATGGAAATCACAAGTATGAGGTTTGACCTGGGCGCGACTTGCATTAATTACCGACGGTTACTCTTTCAATACTTTCCAATCATCTAAAAATACCTAACTAAAGCTTGGTAACGTGTCAGTTTTTACTCGTTGATCTGCGCAACAATCAAAGTCGCCATCGTTGTTTATATGAGACACATATATCGCGCGCATAAGTCATTAAAATCTTACGTTTTATGCATAGAAACGTGTATGTATTTTGCAAAGCGCCATTTTGTGCTAGAGAAAATTGGGTTACTCTTATCATAAATTGGTCACTGTCAATTGTTTTAATAACTTTAAAATTATCCCACCCTGTTAGTACGTTCAGGTTTTACTATCAAGTATAAGAACAAAACAAGCATTTGGGTAACTGCCGTGTATCTCAGTAAACTAGTATAACAACGTGAAACACCTGGTGAGAACCTCCAAGCATGAAAAAATAATGGAAGAAAAACTTTTTTGCGCAACGCGTTGCTACGTGCTATTTACCATCAGCACATATCATTACGTGAACTCAAGGTATTCCTCGGAAAATTGCTAAAAAGTGATTAAATTTTACTGATTCATTGCTTGAATATTACTTTTCTTAAAAAACAAAATGTTTTTTTACCCGTTTCTTGGATATAACTTAATCCTGGAAAAATACGGAAAAGAATAAGAGTCCATGTGTTAGTTTATATGAATGTAATAGAAACTCAGCTGCATTCTGTCTTCGGTTTAATTTATCTATAAGTGGATGTGATGCCATTTCAATCTAAAACGTCGCATTTTGTTGATTATTTAACATTTGGAACGGTAAAAGTAAATGTTTTCGTGATTGGATTGAAAATCATCAAAATCGTACGGTGAATAGGTTTTATGGCCAAGGCACATGTTCACAAAAATTAGCGAATGGCGCCAAATGTCTAGCTAGACGTCACGGTGCGTCTTCCACTCGACCACTAGGTGTCCAAATATGCTTTGCGCATGTCATAACATCAAGACACCGAGAAGTGCGCATGTCATAACATAGGGACACTAAGAATTTTGAATAATATAATATATTTAGTGATGAATAAGTGCGCGTGTCCCTAAGTGTAAACGCAAATTACACTCATGACTAGATCTTTATTTTGGAGTGGATGCACATTCGTACACTATGAGGGCGGTTAACTGCATACTGCGTCCATTGCTTTTCCATTTGTCACTGCCTTTTGGTGTTACTTTTATTTTCGTGTTTTGTAGAG